CCATGAGTGGATAGTGAATTTTCCCTATAATAACTCCAATTAACTTATCAGGTTATGTCTTTATTACGCACTGCTCTTATGAACTTTGAATTTCTGCACTTTTATTCTGAGTTAGATTGGCCAGTCATTGTCCTTTCTAACACTGTTCCAATCTGATTTGGATACATTATCAGCCTATTACTTGGGCCTATTGCCTATTTTTATACTTTTTGGTAGAATTTGTATGATGGGAGGTTATTGTTTATTATTATTCACCAGTAAATCACCTATGCTTATGTTTTCAGAGAGATTTTAAACATCAGTGATTGGCATGCTCTAATAGGATTGACTTATTTTTTAATGAGATTTGCTACTTGATATTTTATAGGAAGTTGACCATTTTCAAAATACTCAAATTCATCATCTCAAAGGTTGTTTTAAATAATATTCTCTTTTCAATTTATGATGCATCCCAGTTTTCATTCCCAACTATTTTTTTCTCTTTTTGCTTTATCCTGGTCAGTTTTCCTGAAGTTTGCCAATTTCTTTTTTGAAGAAATCACTTATGCTTTTGCTGTATTTTCTACTATCTTTGTTTTCCATTTCATTAACTATTCCTTTTATTTGTTTCTTATTTTCTTTGGATTTATCCTCATGACTTTTCTTCTAAGTTCTTGAAATGGATATCAACTTGATCTTCAACCTTTCTTCTTTCTGAACAAATCATTAAAGACTATAAGTTTCCCCATAAGATTACTGATCCTTGTTATTAATAAAGAAAAAATAGGTCAAAAACTTTGTTTTTGGTGGGCACTTGCATTCACTTAGTTATCTTTAGTGTCACCCTCTGTCTGTGGCAGGTGCTACTTGGGTTTCTATTTATGATAGGGATGGAAATATTCCTTTCATAATACACTTATTTTAGCAAAGGGTGTCTTAGCCTACTTTCTATTTCTAATAGCACAATACCACAGACTGGACCAATTATATAGAAAAGAGGTTTATTTTATCTCAGAGTTCTAGTCCAAGGTTGAGAGGCCACATCTGGTAATGGCCTTCTTGCTGGTGCAGGGACAGGGAGCATGCATGTATCTTCCCATCTCTTTGTTCATTCAACCACAGTGGCTTCATCCTGATGACCCTGTCTAATACTAATCACTCCTAGTGGCTCCATCTCTGAACACATGGTTGGATGAAGTTTCTACTCCTTTTATACCTTAAAATGGAGATTAAACTGCAAAATGAGTTTCAGAAGGAACAAACCATAGAACAGTCATCTTAAAGAAAAATTTTAAGTATGTAATCAAACAAGTGTTGGAAAAATCTCTGGATTAAAAATTAAGACTCAGGAGTCAGTCAGCAAGGCAAACAGTTTTACTTCTGCAGAAGGGTGTGCAACTGACCAAGCACACCGAGAGGGAGGTTTGCTCAGGTTTTTATCCCTGACGAAACACTGTTCCCTTCTCCTATTGGTAGGAGTCAGGGGTCATAGCCTTTCTTGATTAACTATAGATGAGGTAAAGGGCAAGGCTACCATTTAACATTCTGGGAGGCCATGAGTTAAGCAAGCATAACCACTTGCTGCTTTAAAGTGGATTTACCTGGGTTGCTATTTCTTTGAAGGAAAAGACAAATTGTCCCCCATACAAGTAGTACAAAAATTGACCAAAGGTCCCCAAAGTGGTGTTGTAGTTCAAATATGAAAAAAATTATGAGGGCAATTTATCAGGGACTGTTGTTCTAAGCAGCTTGCTACGTTCTCTTATTCATCTGCAGGATTTCCTTGTGTATGTGACTTTTCGGCCACAGTGAGTAATTCCTCATAGTTATAGGGAATAAAGAATGTCCTGCAGAGATGGACAAGTATAAATGTTCTAGTGTCCAAAAAAAAAGAATAAATGTTTTAAGAATTTGAAATTGTGGGTTAGATGTCCATTGTAGAAATGGTATTAGAACTAAAGACTGGATTCATTGAGAGAGATTGAATTTAGGAGGTGTTAGCCACAGGGAGCCACGTGGGCTCATCAGAGCGAGTCATGTCATGAGAACACAATTCCCCATCATTATTAAGAGATTATTTCACTGGCAGAGCAGTGTAATCAGGAGAAAGATGGATGATGATGTCCTCCATGCAATGAGCAAAACCATCATACGTCCTGATCAAAATGATAGATACAAACGTGACTGAAGCGAGTTTCTTCAGAAGGGCTCAGAGTTGTTTTGGGAAGCACCATTCAAACTTTTTTTTTTTTGGTAATGAATGTATTATTGTCCATCAAGAGGAAAGTTATAATAATTTGCCACAAGTCTCTATGCTATTTAGCAACTTTGTTAAACATGCTTGGTGATACAAAGCTAACTATTCTTTCAGATTACGGAACATTTATTTTAAAATGTCTTGGTAAACTGGAGTTAGAGATTCAGGGTGCCAAGCATGAATGTCACTGTCCCAATGAGATCAGTCCTCTCATTTTCCCTGATGTCCCCACAGAGTACAGCATTGTGACTAGAGTCCCAAGGTCTGCTTCAGATAAAACTAACTCCAATTTTCCTCTCACCTTATCTTCTATTAGAAAGATTCATACAAAACCTGTATCTATTCTATAGTCCACTCATATTTTATGGTTATATTTAGATGATATTTTAATTAGCAAACACTTTTGTATCTAAAAGACTTGTTTTTGTCTGGAGTATAGCTTAGTGGTAGAGCACATGCTTAGCATTCAAGAGGCCCTGGATTTGCCACTTACCACCAAAAAACTTGGAAAAAAAAAAAAAGGAATGCTAAAGAGATAAAGCAGATACCTTAAAGCAACTGAGGCCAATAGGAAAAGGGGACCAGGAACTAGAGAAAAGGTTAGATTAAAAAGAATTAACCTAGAAGGTAACACCCACGCACAGGAAATCAATGTGAGTCAATGCCCTGTATAGCTATCCTTATCTCAACCAGCAAAATCCCTTGTTCCTTCCTATTATTGCTTATACTCTCTCTACAACAAAATTAGAGATAACGGCAAAATAGTTTCTGTGGGGTATTGAGGGGGGGAGCGGGAGGGGGTGGAGTGGGTGGTAAGGGAGGGGGTGGGGGCAAGGGGGAGAAATGAACCAAGCCTTGTATGCACATATGAATAATAAAAGAAAAATGAAAAAAAAAAAAAAAAAACAAATAAAGTAGATGCTGTCACCCTAAAAAAAAAAAAAAAAAAAAAAAAGGAATGCTAAAGAGCCAGACCATGTATTGTGGTAAATGCCTTTAATCCCAGCTACTTAGGAGGTAGAGGCAGGAGGACTAAGAGTTTGAGGGCTGCCCTTGCAAACTTAGTGAGACTCTGTCTCAAAATTAGCATACAAAGAAAAGGGATGGGGGTATGGCTCAAGTGGTACATCATTCAAGAGGAGGTTCTGGGTTCAATCCCAAGTTCCATGTAAAAAAACAAGAAATATCTAGCTAGATATAGTATATATTTGGATGAATTCCTATTCTCAGAGTCACCGATGAGTTTTAAAATAAATATACTTGTCTAGAGTCAGAATTTAAGCGATGTCAATAACTTAAAATACTTATTCCATTCTCCTTGTTTTATAAATAAAGAAACTTACCCTAGACCTCCATGACCCAACTTTAGCCTCTGCAATCTGAACATTTCAAATGGATGAGTCAATTTTTAAAAGTCATAACAACTTTTTTTTGGCAGTACTCGGGTCTGAACTCAGGTCTTTGTACTTGCCAGGAAGGTATGCTCTACCACTTTAGTCATGCACTCAGCCCTTTTTATTTGTTTTTAATTTTATTTTTATCATTTTTGTGTTTATGTACATGTGTATACATTATTTTACTCAGCCCTTTTTAATCTTATAAATGTATTATCATATAAAAGACTTTATTCCTCTCATGAGTATAATCCCTTAATTTAATTTTGATTCCTAAATTTTAAATTTAAATACAAATTTCTTTAATTCTCGACATGTGACAATCAACATGTCATGATTTATAGAAAAGAATGGTAAGAGTTTGGATTGATTTCTTTCAACTAATTTCAATCAAAATGTCTAGTAAGATTTTTAATTGTAGCAAGTTACTGGGGAGGTGTTTACAGGGAAGTTTGAATTACAGAGTTTTGAGTTCTTTTCGTAGGTTTTAGTGAACAACCAAAAATCTATAATGTTGTCAGCTAGAATTGATATGCCTATATTTGACCACAAAGAAAGATTGTTGGAGGGCTCCATGGTGGAGGCTTGCCTAACATGTCTGAGGCCCTGGGTTTAATACAAGCACTGCAAAATAAGTACAGAGAAGAAACCAGGAGCTGTTTTCTTGGTTTCAGCCCATCACTTCTGCCTTGAACAAGTTTAAACAAAGTTACGTGGTTTTCAAAGTTCTACAGTATATTGAACAACCATTAAGTGTGAGCCTAAGAGGCCACCTTGAAAATGATCAGGTGTTTTAGCACCATGACATTTGTATGAATGGACAGAAAATTCAGTTTCATGTGTCCCTTTGGCTTATCATTGCTACAAAAGCTTATCATTCCTCCTTTTTCTTTATTTTTTAAACCATTAGGCTGTTGCAGGTACCAGTGATTATTTAAGTAAAGCCTTTTTGATAGACACATTTACTCTTCTTCTAAGGTAGATGTTTCTCTTTCAAACATGAGCAATTGTGCACATGCAGTTGGAGGTTTGAAAAGTGTGCTTTTCCTGAAAATGGTGCATTGTGTGTGAAAGAAATCATGTATTTCCACTTGAAAAAAGCCAGGGAACTAGAGAATAAATGAGCTAAGTTGATAAGTAGATCACCATGGGTAGTTACAACCTGTGTTTGTGGATTGGTATCTGGTTGGGAGGCAAGAGATAAAAAGCCTGCCACTTGGCAGAGCTGTCTGGCCTCCTGTAGTTTATAATTAGAAGGTCACTGAAGCCCAGAACCATGGCTGTCTTCCATTAGGAATTGCACCTTCAGAGCATTAACTTGGAGTACTTTCCTTATTCTGTTCTTTATCCTTCTTTGATTTTTCTCCCAGGATTCCCAAAGCAAGGCCAAGATGTCCATATCTCCAGAGCTGGGTGATGGGCTCTGACCAAGAAGTGGAGTATTTAATATCTGCTGAGATGAAGTTGGAAAACGCCTGGGCCAAGGACCTCTGCAACGTCTTTCCTCCAACAAGAAATGCAGAAGGTTCTCACATGGGGATAAGTTAATTTTGCTTTGTGGAAAAGCCAAAAATTCTTAACCAATCAATTCTGCTTTACTTGAAGGACTTCTGTGAGTTTCTGGGTCAGAGGCAGTCATCATCAGCGTGGTATGTCACACTTACACAAAACACAACCATGTTTTCTGACATCAGATGATGTCTGCTGGGGGAAAACAGACTTTTTGTCAGCCAGCAAGACCTGAATGTGGAGTGTTCATTTACAGAAAACACTAACAAAAGACTTAAACAGAAGGAAGAAAAATACATGAATCGTTTTCAAGGAGAAATACTCCAGAAGAAGTGAGAATGAAGACTGAGGAGAATAGGTAAATGAGTTAACTTTCTAAATGACTAGTCTGCCTTGAGATGTTAAAGCATGCAACAGGTAGGCAAAAAACAAACAAATGTTCTCTAGAGGCAAAAGGGAGTGAATGGTGTATAGAGATACTTCAGTTATGAATGGACTTGCATACATAACATTTTAAGCCAGGGGTTGGAAGTAATTCCTTCACATTTGTCCTAGTTTGGGGTTTTCTCTTTCCTGGTGTGACCATTGGGATGTAGAGAAGACTGAACTCTATAGCAATTTATTTTCTCTTTCCTAAAATGTCTATGTTAGTGCCTCTCAGTGACCATATGATACATAATAACTGCAAAGTACTTGGATTGTTACAAATAGCTGGAAAGGAAACAGAGAGAGAGAGAGAGAGACTACTTTTTCTGTATAAGCTGTGATGAGAAAAGATGTTTGCTCCATTTCCCAAATGTAGTTACTATTTCATAAGCAATATGCTTATTTTCTGAGCTTGAGGATTAATTCAAAAATATGTATGCATTTATTACTATGTAAATTTCTATGTACTGCTTTTTCTTCTTAAGCATGTAACAAAATTCTCTTTTATTAATTTTGGCTGATATATTAAAATAGTATGTTCACAAATAGACATTTTAGTACTATAGAGATCAGGGAAGGCTTTGCATCTTATAACATAATAATCGCAAGTGATAAAAAGATTTTTCAGAGTTGGCTTTCCAAACTTGAAACACTGAGGAAAAAAAATACGTTTTTTTTCCCTTATCTTCTGAAGAATTTTTGTCATTAGACAAAGCTGTTACTTTCTCAGTAGAATTGGCCTCTTGGCATTGTCAGTATAAATTCTGCAAGTGATTGGGTTTTATTTGTTTGTTTGTTGTGACAGGACCTTCCTATGTAGCCCAGGCTGGTCTTGGATTACAGGCATGTCTACCCACAACCTTGCTTTTTAAATATGTGAATACACAAGGATATCGAGACTACTTTATGGGTTTGATTTTTATTTAATAATTGGAACATTTGATTATTTTTCTGTATTTCCTATTACTATAAGAAGGAATCTGAGATTAATTTTCTAACAGTTATTATGCTAAATTGTTTAAACATGAGAGAAATGTATCTATCATCATTCATGCTATCTTGTAGTATTTCTGTGGCTTTTTTCTTAACTTTCTGAAGTACTCACATATTAGCGTTTGTGCTCCTCGTTTTGGAATCAAATACTTTTTCAAATGAAGGTGAACTCATTTTCATTTATGTGCCAGTTGGCTGGTTTATTACAAGTGACTTCATAAATGTATCTAAGCATAACTGAGCATCTTCTGTCTAGACAGCCTCTCCCCAGCCTTTCTTGGGCTTCTTCACAGCATGGGAGCCTCAGAACAGACTTCTTCTATGGCAGCTGGTTTTCAAGAGAGAGGGAAGACTCAAATCTGGGACCAGCATAGCACCATGGGTGCCAATTCATACATTTATTTGAAAGAGTAGCAATAATGTAGAACCATTGATGATGGTACTAACTATGAATGGTCAACCATTAGGATTGATTTGAAGCATCTAACAGATGTTGAAAACCCAACAGATTATTTTGTGCTTGCAATAACTAAGTGATCAATTCTATTTATACTGAGATAGAAGTATGAATTAATTTTGGGTATATTTTTGCAGAGGATGGCGTTTTATAGACATTGACTTTTTTGGGATGCCCATTTCCTTAAAGATAAAATATGAGTGACTCATTATAGCAACACTTGCAAAGATGTAGAGTTAGAGTAGATGTGACAGGTGTCAGGATTATTGCAATATTGGACATAGATGGGGCCCAACTGCAAATACAGCTGAGAAAGCTGGGGCTTTACAGCCAGCAGGCAGAGGGAGGGTTAGTAGATGGAAAATTATCAAGAGGTGACATCCGAGGTAGAGGATTCTTACTAAACTGGCTTTGACAGAATGATCATATAAAAAGTTGGAGCATTTGATTAGGTGTACAAAGAGATCAAAGGCATGGGTTCTTCTCATTAGTGGTCTTAGCAGGATTCTTGCTGCAATTGAGCCAGGTGGGTCAAAGACAGAATCCAGATTGAAAAGAAGCTCTGGGGAGACAGATGGAAGTTTGGTTAAGGAGAATATTCTTCAGGCCATTCTCTTATTTAAGGAAGGAGGAGACATCCTTCTTTTCTCTGAACAGACAGCATAGTCCATTCCTCATTCCATCATCTTTTCTTCCTTAAGGACCAGTGGAGGCATGTGTTGAGATTTGGTAGTAGAGCATATTTGCTGAATGGTTAGAGAAGTCAGGCATTTAATGAAGGAATGTCTGAAAATAAAAAGAAAAGTGAAAATTAGTCTTGTGAACAAATTATAAATCCACTTTCTGAGTCTCAAAGGCAGTGAGTCGCCAAGTTCTGAGGGTCTGTAGAGGTGGAATGTGGACACCAGTGGACCTGGTGGAAGTCTGGATTGAATGTCCCTGGAAATGACACACACATCAGTGTCACAGTCATGGTTACTGCCTGGAGCAAACTGTGGAGTTGCAGATGAAAGACTGAAAGGGGACTCAATGAGGTTGCTTGCTTTGGATAAGCACAAAGACTTTATGGCTGATTACAGGTGTTTTCCAGGACAAATCATAGTATAACAGGAAATACATGTGGACGACATAAGACTTCAAAAGGGGTATGATTAAAGAGCAGAGGAGAGTTTGTCAAGAAAATCTGATTTTTTCCTGTAGCACACAGCTTGTTAAAACAATAGCCAGAATTATGATGGATAACATTATACCAATCCTGTCATGGATAGTGAAGGTATTGACAAATTTTCTAGGAGTGTCATACAGTTTCTGAAATATTAATATTAGTGTATGAATTTTGTTTGACAATGTTTTTCATTCAATTCAACATACCATATAAACCTTATTATTTTTAATATCACTCTTTTTACAAGGTGAAAGAACAAATCCTTTGGGATTTTCCAAGAATTCTCTGGGAATTTGAAATTGCAAGGTTAGTTAGAGATCAAGATAAACTTAAGATTTAGTTTTGGGAAAGCTAAATTGTCGAAGAAGTCAAAGGATTTAACACTTGACTAAATAGGATTCTAGATTTCTATGAAACAATGCCCAGCTCTCTAACAAAAGGAACCTTAAAAGATTCACAGGGACGTAACATGGTTGTAAAAAACCTTACTTGGTCCTCTTCAATAGTCAAAGTCATGATAAAGATTGCCACAGGAAAGTATTCTAATAAGACACAGAACCTTTGGTTCCTTAGTAGATTACCAAAAGGCAAAGAAACTTTTAAAAGCAGATACCTTAAAGCAACTGAGGCCAATAGGAAAAGGGGACCAGGAACTAGAGAAAAGGTTAGATCAAAAAGAATTAACCTAGAAGGTAACACCCACACACAGGAAATCAATGTGAGTCAATGCCCTGTATAGCTATCCTTATCTCAACCAGCAAAACCCCTTGTTCCTTCCTATTATTGCTTATACTCTCTCTACACAAAATTAGAGATAAGGGCAAAATAGTTTCTGCTGGTATTGAGGGGGGGAGCAGGAGGGGGTGGAGTGGTGGTAAGGGAGGGTGGGGGCAGGGGGGAGAAATGAACCAAGCCTTGTATGCACATATGAATAATAAAAAAAATAATAATAAAAAATAATTTCTTATTAAGAGCAGACCGAGAATCTAAGAAAACTCATTATTTTAACCAAGACTAAAGCACATTAAAAATAAGCCTTCTAAATGAATCCATTCAATCACAGGCAGCTCTGACCACATGGGATAAGATTCTTTTTGTGATAGTTCCTAAAACCTTCTTTAACTTATATCAATTCTGGTGATGTTCTGTGCTTTCCTCTCTCTCATTCTGGAACAATCAGTCATTTTAGGTAAATTGCTCTCTTTTTTTCCCCATGGTAAAAATATAGCTGGCATGTTTTGCATAATGAGTTATTTATCTTCACTCTTATTATTCTTAATAGTTTATCTATCTAGCTGTCTATCTATTGATTATAACTTTTAACAATTTGGCAACCTTTTTTAACAGAGAAGACTAGAATATAGACAATTGTGAATTGTCTGCCATATACCAATATTTTAGCAAATCTCACAATTTTTATAAGCATATGCTATTTTGTAGTTCAATTTTTCCTATTTATTAAGTCCAAAATATATTTACCTCTTCATGCCATATAAAAATAAGCTTAGTAATGAATGTCTCAATTGTTTATCTTATTTAGAAATTACTAACAAATACTTATTACTTAACATAACAATAAGGTTGCAAGTTTCCAAAAAGATTTTCGAAATATTTTTGCAGGCATATCAGACATCATCTGTTTTTATTTCCCAGTTAACTATTTTTATAGCAGATGCATGTTAGTTACTATTATGAAAGAAAGAAAGAAAGAAAAGGAAAAAGGTACCTTGCAAACAAGGAAGTCCAGGACCCTAACCCAGCCTCTCTATGGACGGAGAAGCCTTGACACTACCACACCTCTGTCTGCTGGGAATTCCTAACCTAGCCTTGAGAATATGCTAAGAATCTCTAGGAACAAAATCTCTCCTTACCCCACGTCTGTGGATTTACCTCTGGAGCACTGGTCGAGTTAGGTTCTCCAATGATCCCTGATCCATTATTCAAGGAAAGAAGGCAAAAACTTCAGACACACATCTGCAGTCCTAGATGAGAGGTCCTGGGGGTCCAGTGATAAGTCTGATCTCACACAAGTCGTGGTACCATATGCGTTAAGGGCACAGTATTCTGACCCTGGTGAAATCTGTAAGGAAGACTTTATTCAGGACTCTGGAGATGGGTGTCAGGACTGCCACTGTGGGTCATTGAGCTCAACTTCCAACAGTTGGGCAGTTCCAATCAAAGGACAGAGTGAGGGGTCATGGATGGAAAGTCACTGAGCAGAGACATCCAGGGTGAAGGGACACCTATGACACTGACTTGACAGGGTTCTTAGGCATGGAAGGTGGAGCAGGTGATTGGATATCAAGGATGGGGGAGT